TGAGCTAAATATTTAAGTTTAAAGCTAAATATTTAGCTAGCTAGCTAAATATTTAAGTTGCAACTTAAATATTTAGCTATCAAGTTAAATATTTAGCTATATAAATGTATGAATCATACGGTGAAAAACTGACTTTGAAAAATAAATCTGTTCTTTTTTTCTTATAAAAGACTAAATAACACAAAAATATTGGTGGTGATTTTCGACTGTGTAACCTTACAAACGGCACCCCATATCTGCTGCCTAACGTGCCAGACTTTTATATTAGAATCATCTGAGAAATGACAGACTTGTAGCTATTTTGGTCAAACCTTGATTATAACTGACTTTATCTAAAATCCTATAATATTACACAATCGTTTACTGCACGATTCACAGCTTTGACCAAAGCTCAGTATCTGGAAAACCAACTGAGTTCTAGCCATGTTTATGGTTTCATTATCAATAGACTATGGCAGCTATTTTTAATCAGTTTGTCTTCAAAGGTTAATCACTCGTAGATGTTCATCAAATTATCATTTTATAAAAGTTTTATTAGAATTTGTTCAGTGGTTCATGACATATTGTAGGGGACACACACTTAGCCCAAAACACTATTGTCTGCCTTCACTTTTCATCAGCTGGCGATAAATATATTAATCGTGGACATAGGTTCTCAAAGAATAAATTTTCAGTGAACTCATCCTTCTTTCTTCCTTTTATCCCATTCTAAATGATTACATGAACTGATCCCATCAGCACAGAGTGGCTGTATAATCATCTCTGTGTCTGTCTGTGTTTATCCTTTAACAGTACTCCCCCACTATGAGGGCCACCTACCTGTCCATGACCGAAGAACAAAGTAGACACTTTGGAGGCGACTTCCAAGCATAGACTTCTTTACTTGTCGAAGGTGGGAAGCTGCTTCACTTTCCATCAAAAAAGCAGGACTTTGTGGCTGTCAGAGGTATCACAAAGACAAAGTCTGGTCAAGTCCAGCCTGTGCATTTCCAGGTCAACAGGAAAAAGCAACATTTGTACTGTTCTTTTCAGTATTTAAAGCTCCTAGCTTTCTGCCCTTTTTTTTAAAGGAAGTGTAATAGATAGCTGAGGGTAGTACCTTTTTCAGCTGCGACATCAGTCATAAAGCTGGCGTATGGAGGAAAGAGTAGAAGTCTTCCTCCAGGCTAAGCTAAAGGCTAATCAAACGATGGTCAGTGGTGCTGAGTGCCTGTGTAACGGTCTATGCTGGGTGGGGGGGATCCTGGTTCTTAAGTACCACTATCCTGCAAGTTTTACTTGTTTCCCTGTTCTAAAACACCTGATTGAATAACAGCGTTACCTCTTCAAGTTCTACAGAAGATTTTTCATCACCCAACAAACAAATTAAGCAAGCACCATGTTGTTTTATTTTTATTTTTTTTTACAAAAGTTGTTTCACAGGCTTGATTAAAAGAATAATTAAATGGGCCTTTGTTTGGCTAGTTGTCATCCCTAAATCAGAGGCGTACGCTCATTTTCACAGAGAGCCACATGAGCGCAGCCCTCAAAGGTTCACTTGTGTTTAACTTTAACTAAACACAAAGCGTCACCTTGTCTTATTGTTACAGCTGAGCACAGCTAATAAGCCATAACTGAACTCTACCTGTCCTGATGCATCTCAGTAAACCAGGTAAAAAATCAAAAAGAAAAAAATTGTATAGGTCCTCTGGACGGGTTCTTCTCTAATGAAACGTTTCATCTCTCCTCCAAGAGACTTCTTCAGTCTGAGAGTTTCAGGCAAAATTCAGGCTTTTAAATCACACACACGACAGGCCCTGGAGCAGTGTGGTTATCC